AAGGTCTACAAGAGTTTATTGCCTTTGAAATGTCTACATTTAATTTGAAAGTGCAACCTATATCAAGTGATCTGATCTTACTGTGACATCACATTCACTGTGATATCAGACCATAGCAACAAATTTGTCCACAAAAGATACTGCTACACTACATTACACACTGTATTAACATGGCAGCTTGAAACTTTTCTCCACAGGAGACAGAAGAATATTGTCTAAATATATTTGATCATTTCACGTTGAATATATTGATAAATACATTTTCCTCTGTAGCTCTTATTTTGCTGTTTGTAATCCTTTTGTACATATTGGTTTGTAAATTAAAATGATTTCTGCCAAAGTTTTTTTTCTTCTTCAACAAATAATAAAAAAGAAAAAAGAATCAATGTAGGTTTTGATACATGTACATTAAAATGAAAAATATACTTCATGGTTCTTTTAATCAACCTATCTATAGATAGACTTCTCTCATATTTCCAATGTAAAAAATAAATAAATAAAAAAACAAAACAAAAAACATTTCCACAATCCGAAGCACAAGGTTAGACCGTCTTAACCACAAACCAAAAGGTAGCAAAAAACATACAGAGGATTTAGCCTTTGACAGAGTCCAGGCAAACCCCATTTTTACTTATTAAGGACCCAACCCTGGTCATCCAAAGATCACTCGTACCTGCTATAACCTTTCACTACCCTCTGCTCACTGGAGAATACTCAGAACATCCACTGAATTAAAACACTAGGACCGCACAACCACTCCTTAGTCACCACAAATCATATGCTCCACAATAATCTCCTTTGATTTAGTTTACATGCACTCTGGGTTAGCCTTTGTCCACAACCTTTAACCCGGTGGGGTATCTCTTGTCCAGCTTTCTTTCCTTAAATTGTGTCACCTATCTGCTAAAATGGACCCAAGTGTGTGACAGATTGATGCTCTTCAAAGGGCCTGATCCAAACCCCAAAGTCAAAGAAAACACTCTTACTGACTTCAGTGGCCTTGGGATCACATCCAAAATGACAATCACGTGCTTTTTCCTCCCTTTAATCCTCTGGGATCATAAGGGGGAAGGAATTTGCATGGCACAGAATGGGGTTTCTTGCCACTCTTTTCTTCTGGCATGTCTAAAAGAAGAGCACTGGAAGGAAAAAAGCGGGGAATACCATTCCTTCAAGTACACGGGAAGGCTCCCATTGAATGGTATAGTCTCTCTTGCCCTGAGTGTCTGAGTGTAAGAGATCTTAGGAATGTTACTTAGCTTTCCTCTCTCATGAAATGGCTTCTAAATATTTTCTTAACATGCTGTGGTTAACAGAATAGCTCAATAGCAGTATGACTGTCGCAGAGAAGCGATATGCATACGAAACATGGATCTACCACTTCAAGATGCAGTAGTAACAGGAACATGCCCTGTGATCATCTTCCATTCTTCTATACTTCAGCTAACTTAACCTCAAAGAAGCTGAAAAGGAAGGACAAGCCGTGTAGATCTACACAATAGATCAAGAGAACTCCAGTTACTGCGGAGTAACCTTCCTTTCTTCATTATAAAATTGCCCGTGCAGATCCCCAGTTCTAACAGACTGGCAAGCCGTAGACAACACTCAGAGTAAATGGTGAGTGCTTCATTATACAGAAAGTGAAGGAGTGCCCTTCTGATTTAAACATCTGATGGCTCCTGAATCAAAAAAGTAGTGTGGTCAGGCTGCAAGAGACAATTCTTATAGGATAAAAGGTTTTCTGACAATAAAAACAGCTGGTGCTGTCCTTATCTGAAAGGATGCACACACAAGATTGCTACCCATCTCACAATTTCTTTAATATTCTTTCCCTTCACTGGACACTATTCACAGAAAAGCAATGGAAATAAGGTCTTTGTCCAGTTGCTTTGCAATGGTCTCCACATCTGCCTTTGAGTAAGAAATCTAGCTTTCTAAAAAGATGCTATTCTCTTTGGATAGCCGCCTCTGATTGTTTTTGACTGTTGCTAGGATCTTTGGAAGTGCATGTGCATTCCACAATGACACACTGGAAAGCATTTCAGAGTATAGTGAAAGACTGAGGAGCAAGCTATCTGAAATAGTTAAGTATTTTATCAGTAGCATTCAAGTACAGTATCAGAAGTCTCATTTCCGAGCTATGCAGTAAGCACAGGGACCTCAAGCTTGATGGGCATCCAGTGTATGATTTCTAATGGAGTCTGAGTGCAAACTGGAGACAGAACAGCTGACACCCTTACTATAAGACTATTCTTGGAAACAAAGCAATACACAAATCTCAGTGAGACAGATTTTGCAGGCTTGATATTTATAGTGAGAATAGTTAGTGGGGGAGGAGGGAGTTGTTGGTTTGTACCCAGCATGTATAATAGCTTTATCACAGAGCACGTTTTTAAAAGCACAGATGTATTAAGCTTCTGAGAATTCTCTAGCAGCCTTTTTGTCATTTTAAATTGGACTGTATTGGTTTGCCAGATGTACATTGGTGCTAAAATGAATGTATAATAAATGTTTAAAGATTAGCTTCAATATCTCTGCTCTATCCTAAAAAAAACCCGGTACAAATAAGAATACAACATTAGTTTTGGAACGGAAGCCCTAAATTATACTTCATTCAGCAATTGGGAAAAACAGTTCAGTTCAGTGGGACTGAAATAATACTTTTCATTTATATGTGTCTTCTGATCAAACCAAAAAATTAAGTCCTCAGTAATGTAACACATTTATCTAGACTAGGATACACAGTGTATTTTTAAAACATGCTCATTAATATGTTTTAACTACCATGATTTTACAATACTAATTTTATGCATATCTAGACACAACTTACAAGTTAGATATTATCACTATTTTACTGACAGGGAAACAGAGATGCACTATTTTGTCTATTGTCACATAGGAAGTGTATGGGAAAGGTGGGAACAGAAGCCAGATCTCTAGTTTCTGACTAAGTCCTTTGGCACAGCATTGAGCATTAGTGACAAGCTCATTATGTCATGGAGGGACTATCCTTGATTGTGTGGGGCCAGATTTTCCCAAGATAACAGTACCCACATCTTCCACTGTGACATTTACAGCTAGATTTTCAAACAAGCTCTATTGGGCGCTGAGCTCTCTCAAAAATCTGGCTATTAATTTTGGCTGGATATACATTATAAATGGATACATGACACACACACAAAAAAACTGAACGTGTTAATATTTTGAATATGTTATATATACACTTAGCTCTGTAACAGTATGGAAGTTTCTAGGGCCCTGCACAGAAATGGAAGACACTTTTGCAAAGTCGTCTTGTCAGGTGTTAGAACGATCCATAGATATGCAGAGCTCTCTGATGTCCTATGAGCTGGTCCTATTTACTCCAGCCCAGGTGTAAAAGAAAACTTGAGTGCCTCTAGGAGGTGGAAGGGACTAGAGCAAAGACAGAGGTCCTGGAGGAGAAAAAGCCTACATGGAATAGCCAAGCTCAAGAGACAGCTTACTTTGAGGTTTATGTTACATTGTTATTTGAGTAAATAAAAATGAACCCCAGGATAGAAGTAATTTTGGACCACATCCAATGTGTGTCTCCTCTGTGATTTGAGCAGAATGATAACTATCTGCTTATAAGCACCTTTTATCTAAAAAGGTCCTAAAATGCTTTACACACTTCATAAACAGGACTCACTTCACCCACCACTATAATACAGCCATAACTGGGGCAAAATGCAACAGTTGTTTAACAGCACTAAAAGTTTAGGAAGACAACTGCGGAAGAATGCAGTAGCTAATTAAAACTGTAGAATAAATGTAGGTAGGTGGAGTGTAATGGCTCTCATCACAACTGGCTCAGGACACTGGGATTAATATCCAAAGTCTTGTACAAACAGCAACATATTTAAAGACCACAAGGGATCAGGACTTCAGTTTTCCATCTCATCCAAAATACACTTTCTCCAACAGTTCAATGCTCCATACTATCCCACTGCAGCTTGGAATGAATACTGACTCAGGGACAAATTCATTCCTCCACCAACACTGAACTCAGAGTGGGGACTGAGAGGATGAGGGCTTGTGATGCTGACAGTAGTGGTTATAGAGGACAGCTGTCCAAACCACAGCCCTTCACAACTGGCTCTAACTGATATCTCCATAGAAAGGCCAAAGACTGAATAGGGGACAGAGACGAAATTATCCTCTCATCCTCCGGCTCAGGATTAAGGTTCATTGGCAGTATAGCTAAACTTTGCAAGTCCTTGCCTATTTTGTTACCATTGTGAGGACAAAGAAAGGAATTGATTCTCAAGGCACCTTTACAGTGTAGTCAATTCACTTAAAATATTCAGATCTGTTGGCAAATGTTGCTACATAACATAATACAAACAAGCTTGAAAAATCTTCCAGCTCTCATTTGTTTTCAGGGGCTGGAGTGTCATTATCATTAGGAACAAAGAGCACTTCATGAGAATTTAGCAACACTGTTTGCGTAGGTTTATAGTGTAACAAACAATTTTTTCATTATTATTGTGTCAAATCTACCAGAACGTAATTTGGTGAATCAGTAATTCCACAGGGGTGGAATGTGTTTTATTGTTTACAGTAATAAAAGCAATTTTCCCCTAGCTATGTGAAGCCAAGTGCCACTTGTATTTTAAATATTTACACACTATTCTACTTTAAAAAAGAAAATTAAAATTGTATCAGCCCTTATTTTACAAAAAAATTCAGTCTCCCCTTTTCGATTATTTGATGGTTCAGCAATCAAAGAAATTTATGAACAAATTGCAGTTGAATGCTTTCCAAAAACATGTATGACTGAGAATGCTAAGATAACTTTTCAGAATGCATTCAAATAAATAGCATTATGATGTTAGCCACACAGTAAACTATACTCAGTGGCATGCAGAAGAAAACATGTCCATACAAAGCCACTGAGATATAACAACTGAGCAGTGGTTTAACCCACTTCCAGTTTTCAAAAATCCATAGCACCTCTATTATATTTATATTGATCTCACCTTCTTCTGTAATGCCGTAACTTCAACTGTCAGCATATCAACTCGCTGATTCAGGCACTGGTTCTCCTCTTGCATTTTCCCCAGCATGACTCGATCGGTGTGTAACCTCATTTGTAACTCCAGAAACTGAGAAAGAACACAGGGACTTGTTAGACAAAGCAACTTACATGATTATTAAAACAGGAATCAAATGCCAAAGTCGATTAGGCAATGAACCACACTGTGATCAGCAAAATTTCTTACACACAGCATGATGGAAGATTTGAAGTTGTCCCAGTTTCTCTTGCTCCCCCCAATAAAAGTACTTTATATTAATATTAATCTAAAGACTCATTAAAAAATAAGTCTGGAAAGTATCTAAGGAGCAAACTAGATATACTTCCGTTTGTTTTAATCTACTTTTACATTGCACTGCATTTTACCAGAAATTCATTCTTTCAGCAACTTAATTAACTTCACAGATCTTATAATTGCATGCATAAGCCATGGGATTTTTATTCCTATATTTGTTTAGCCTTTACTTCTTTTTTTCCTAATGTGTTTTCCCATAAACATGGGATTTGGGCATCTTGGTGAGCTACACAATTATTAATGCAACATACTAGGTATGAATTATTATGGGGGGTTTTCATGTTCTCCCATGCACAAAGAGCAACCATGTACTCCAGTCTCAATTACTTAGATTAAGAAAATCAATAAAAGAAATAAGTGTAAAGTCTTCCTGCGACAGTGCAGTGTGTGTGAGACACGCTTTGTAACAACAGCCCCCGTGAATGGAAAGACCAGAGAACCTCTCACAGCAGCAAGGCTCTTAGAAATTTAAAGGTGCAGTACGCAAAAAAGGATGTAAGTTACAGAAGCTACATTGCACTCCAGGCTTCCACTTTTAGCTTACAGTATTTTTATTTTGAATGAGAACTCTCTCGGTTGTGTTTGGTGTAATAGCTATGAGTCCAAAGGTGTTATAGAAGATGATCAGTGTTTATTAGGATAAAATTAACCTACCCGAGCAGGAAAGTTCTCTACTATAAAGTGCACTAAATTGGTCTGAGCCAGTTTACAATGGTTTTCACAGAACTCCACCCATAAAATTCGCTGTTAATTTACAGGCAACATATCATTTAAACAAAATCTCACTCAGTGATGCCAGAATCTGAAGGCAGGACACTTTCCTAGCAACTTCTGAGAACTGGATTTTACAAACTGATCCTTTCACAAATGCCAGATATACTGCAACCATCCACAGAGAGATAGTCAGCTCAAATTCAGTCTCATAGGGCTCAGATATAGCCTGAAAGCAGGAAACCAAAGCTCTGCCAGGGCAGAGTAGATATGAGTACCAGTCCGGCTGCCCTACCCATGGAGCAGTTTTTGCATCAGCCTTAGATGAGGGGAGTGCCCAGATACTCTTCTGATTGAAGGGTAAACATTGCAAGAGCACAGCGACGTGGAGGGAAGGTGGTGGGGGGGGGGGGGGAGAAGAGAAGAAATACTGATCCAGGAGGAAGCTCTCACCCTTTTAAACATTGGGAAGGTTGACTTACACATCACATAATTAACATTTATTCTTTAGCTCCTGAAAGGCCAATAAAAAACAACAACGCTCTAGCCAATTGGTCACAATCAGGGGTCCACCCCATATAGTCACCTAAGGGATTTCCTGGACTGTCACTGAGGAGAAGCGATAGGGTGGTAGGGTCTTAATTTAATTGGAGTAAATGAGCCCAGAGAGTTAAAGGTGTTAACACAACCCTGTCATTGTGCCAACACTAAACAGTCAAACATGATTTGGGGTTTTGCGTGCCAAGACCTCAGCCTGCTTAGTACCATGGCAAACACACTAGAAAATTAATGCCAAAGTTTGGGAGTTTATTGATCAGGATACACAAGCAAAAAAAAAAAATCATCAGAACAAGACAAAATATTTTGGAATTGAAATTGAGTGATTATGCAAAACAAAAAAAACTTATCCAAGACCCTTTCTCAGAGAGCAGTTGATGGTTAGAGTCTCTTATTTTGTCAGGCAGAGAAGACAGAGTAGTTCTCTTGTTCAATTCTGAGTTGTGAATGATAGTCACTGTGATGGTTCTTGGGATACACAGCACTGAGAGTCATCTTGTTACCTTTGCCTCCAGTGTGAGGGAGTCTGGCTTGTGCTTAGCTGCGCGTCAGTTCCCCAACCATCCTGTTACCACTCAAGCACTCTCCTTCGGGCTATGCCAGCCCTTACTTTGCCTTGCTGTTTAACAATAGGTACACGCCAGTCCCTCTGAAGCATTCCCTTGTGCTATCCTTTCTTGGTAATGACTGAAGGGGTGTTAACGGGCCTCTCGTTAACAGGGTGTCACTTTGAATGGTCCCTTGAAATATGTCAACTACTTATGCTAAACAATATGTTCCACCTTGTATTTAGCTGTGACACTTTGAGTAAATTTCCCAGAAGAAGAGCTCTGTGTAAGCTTGTCTCTCTCACCAACAGAAGTTGGTCCAAAAGAAGATATTACCTCACCCACCTTGTCTCTCTAAAATCCTGGGACTGACATGGCTACAACTACACTATATGCAACTCAGGATCAGCACTTCTGCATGATTCAACTGAGGATCAGCACTTTGCTTACTACCACTGCACTGAGATATATTTATAGTAAAAGCAAGAATAAGTTTATCACCAAAGATACATGTGATAGTGAGTTAGGATATTAGCAACAAATAGTTACGTGTAAAACAAAAATCGTAAGATGACTTCTAGACACTAGACATAACTAACAGGTTAATTTCCTGTCCAAAATCCTCTGGAGCATTTTCAACCAAGGCTAGTTGTGATCCCCTTCTCATGAATGTAAACTCATTGTCTATTTACTTCCTAGGTGCAGGATGAGGGGGTATCTTCTTTGCCTCCTACATATGCCACAAATTTCACTGTCTGTACTTCGAGCTAGGATAAACCTCTGGGGTTTGTTTTCCGCACATGCTGCTTCCCTGTTGAGTTCACATCTCTTAACATCAGACTTCAATGGACAACCACTGTATTATCTTAATTTTTACATCCCGACAGAGAGATGCATTTATTTCCTCCTGTCTGGAGGAAAATTTGTCTTTCACCTCTGCTGGTGACTAATACCTTGATGCAGGTTATAAGAACATATTTTCAGTATATAGACATAACTCCTTACACAGTACCTATACATACATTGCATAATTATATTAATAACCAGTGTGACACCAGCTTTCATTTGCAACCTCACATGACATTCTTTGGTGAACCAGAATGTACATACAAGAATCGGGGGATAACTGTACCCCTCTGTACCCCCTTGTGAATTGGCATTAAAAGGTTCTTGGGCTACAAGTCACTTTCCCAGATTTTGACAAAACAGACAGACTAAAGGGGAAAACAGATAGGATGGTAAAGGTGGGGAAAGTATGGCTTTTTGTTGATGTTCTTGGGCAGCTCATCAGACACAGACAGATGCTTTGGCCTGGCAGGTAAGCCACAAAACCTGCTACTCAGGCTCACTTTTCCAGTCTGGGACATCATTTGGCTGGTCTGGTCAGGACCCTGTGCTTTACTGGTCTCTCTGAGGCTGGGCACAGCTAGCTGGGGCAACTCATCCCATCATGCTGGTGCTATGTGGCTGCTCTCAGGATCAGGAGAAAAGCTGAAAGAGATAGAGAGACAGTGGGGGGGACAAAGACATGAGGGAAGGGAAGACAGAGCAGGGTGTCACATGACAGCCCCATGCTGAAGTCTTGCTGGGACAGCGGTGATGGTCAGGTGTGTTGAGATCTGGGTGTCATCAGATCCAATGGTCCTCAAGGCTCACGAACAAAGGACAGAGTTCCTGGAGCAAGCAGAAGTCAGCCTAATTTCTGATACATCAATTTTGGTACATTGACTTCTGGTCCCACACTCCTCTTGTTTTCCAGGCATGATATCAACACAGTCCTTGAGTTTTATCAGTAGGCATCTTTGTGGACTAACCTGGTCTTTTTTCCCCCCTTCTGTACCTTTTCCTTTCAACATTTGTTATAGGTGATTGGTACATTTTACGAACTTTTATCCGCTTTCCTACAGTTGAGCCCACAACTGGGGTAGGCCTGCCAGGCCCCAATTATTAGAAGAGTGGGCACAAATTTCAGCTGCTTGAAAAGTGCCAACATCTAATGCTTGGAAGGTGAGGGGAGCCATATAGGGGTTTGTTTTCCAAATCAAGTCAGTCGTGATGAGTGTGCAGTGAACTGGGTGTTCTCAGTTCAGTTCCTATTAGACAGGTGTCTGCATCACATTGACAACCTCAGCACAGAGGACAAGGAGGGAATAGTCAGGGAGACTGAACTATCCACCAGGATCCCTAAAGGTCAGGTTTGAGGCACTGTAGCAGATCGCTGACTCACCGGCGTGGCACCTCCTCCTGGTCATCCAGGAATTAGCTCAATTCCAGCCTCAGAGCACCCCCTGCTAGCCAGTGTCTTGGCTGCCTCAGGCCCCGTGTCCCTCCCAGACCCCAGGGCCCCTTTCCTTGGGGTTCTGCCCCCAGCAATACCCCCACACTCTGGGTCTCCCTTCCCAGGGGAGCCCTCTCCCCCTATGCCCACTTTGGCTCGGTGGCTACTGCCAGTCATCATCTAGCCCCCTTTCTCTGGGGCAGACTGCAGTCTGTAATCACCACTCACCACTGTCAGGGGGGTTGGACCAGCTGCCTCTGCTTATCCCCAGGCTGCACCTCCCAGCCCCAGTACCCCCTTAGGCCTTTAACAAGCCTCAGCCTGGAGAGTTGCCAGGCTGGAGCTCCCCAGTGCCTCTTGCCCTTCCCCAGCACTGCTCTGCTTGAGGTACCCTGTGTTCCCAGGCAGCTAGGCCCTTCTCACTCCAGGGCTGGAGTGAGACTTTGACCCAGCTCCTCCCGCACAACCTTCTTATCAGGGCCAGCTGGGCCCTGATTGAGCTGACCACAGCTGTGGTCAGCTACTCAGTCAGCTTCCCTCAGCTGTTCTCACTCCTCTTATCTCAGGAGCAGAGTAACCGCCTTGCTACAGGAATACTGACATTGTGCTCTTCTCTTCTAACTATGCTTTGAAACTAAGGGGACTTCAATCCAAGGACCTGTTCTTCCAACTTCACCAGC